TTTATGTTAAAGTACCTTGATACCACTAGCTTTCAGCATCTTTGTGAAGTCTTCTGTCCATACTCCAATTGGAAGTTCTGTGAATCTTATGGTGCTGTCATCAACCATAGTATATGCACCAGATGTTCTATACGAGGTAATAGATCCTTGAACTTTCTTGATACGTCCTTTAAAATGTCTATACCAAGGTTTCATGGGCTCCATATCTTGACCAAGCAACATACGCATTATGTTCTTTATAACATCAATAGGATTGTAGTTTGGAACATAAGAACTCGATCCGGTTGCTATTCCACGACACCCGTTGACCAGTATCATAGGTATAATAGGCAAGAACCTAGTATGTTAATATATAAAATTAACTATTGTCTCAAAACCAGAAATACAAAAGAATTGTACTATGGGAAAAGAATGTTACCAAGATGGCTCTGGGCTGTTCCCGTCTTCGTTCTTATAATTAAGTAAATCATCATCTTCCTCGCGAAACAAGAGTCTTGTGATTGGAGAGAGCCTAACCTTGANGTATCTTGCATGAGCCGCATCTTTTCCTCCCTAATTTTCAACAGTCATGTAAATGATTAGTAAAGGCCTAGATAACAACAATAATAAATCTAAGCAACAAACTCACCATGTTACGAGTACCGAGATGACCAATGGGCTGGAGGAGATTAATGTTGTTACTCCCAACGAAATCTTGTGCCATATGAATTATGGTACTCACAACACTATCCATACCATGGTAATAGGCAGCATGCTCACACACCTCACTAGCTAGGACAGACACCTTGACCTTGGTGCCCGTGATCATGTTTTTCTTGAACGCAGCAAAAAGAACTTTTCTCTGAGGCAACTTGAGCCCATCGAGTATTGAGGGAATTGATCGTCGAAGATCTGCCTGGAAGTAAAAACACAGCTCTCGGTGTACGAATTCAGCAATTGTAAATTCTTTCTTCAAGTCACGTTTCCTGGCTTTTTGAAGTATCTTTTTTCTTTTAGCTATAAACTTCGCAATCCAAGCTTTTCGGGCATCTATCTGCGCTTGCGATTTAGAAAATGCAAGCTTCATCGCAATTTCATCTTTTTTTGTATCCAAGGAGACCAAGCTTTTTACATGACTTTGAAAATCTTTGAAGTACAGTTTTCCCTCTTCATTTTCGAACGAACCAAGTCCCTGTACAAAAAAAAATTAGACGATAAGCTTCAATTGAACTAAGAACAAAACAATTTCGAGTTTGCTTGAGAGTCTCCCTAAGCCAAAGGCAACTAACAAAAGTCAGAAACCCGTTTCTTAATTCTCTTCCTCTTATCCATTTCCTAACAAAGTAAAAAATCCATTACCTAATACTAATCACAAAGTAAAAAGACCATTTCCTAACAAAAGCTCTATTTGTTCTCAGCTTATCTCCTCGGCCAAACACATGGCATCAACGTTTCTCCACCTGAGAATCTGTCTTCCCAGTCAGCTTCTTTGAACCCAGTATGTCTTGTCCACCTTGATTCCCTTTCCTTCTCCCATGAGTTCCAGCATGTCCCCAAGCCGAGTGTGCCAAGTTTCCGGTCTCAGTACCATGGATTCTACCTTTTGCTGGACTGAACTGTCCAGACCTAACAGCCTAAGTTGTTAAACTTTCTGTAGATACTCAGCCATGTTCCACCTTCAAGTATCTCTTCTGAACCTAACCTTCAATTTCCATGATATTAATAAGAATAATACCTTGTAATGGTTAACGTCCCAATCTGTTGCATTGGCGCCTAGATCTTTATTCCAAGTTTTGTATTCATCCAACAAATAAAACTCCAGGGTTTGCTTGGTCTCTTTGTTTGTGGCCTAATATATCCAGAATGTCAAGTTACTTCCAGTGTCATTAAAAATTATTCAGACCAACTTATTATACTGAGTTACTGACCTTAATAATGGGTGTTATAAACACAACTAAGAAGGGTGTCTTCCGCTGGAGTAAACTCGGGTATAAACAATGAAATATATTGATCAACAGACCCTTGATGTGAAACCCATCATCATCCTG